AAATTATGTGGTGAAGAAACAAATTTTACAAATCGATAATCGACTATCTACAAAATAAAGAATGAAAAACATAAGTCTAAGCTAATTTAAGTTTAAAACATTACTTTTTTGATTGTTATCGTTAAAGGTTTATTAAATAAAATAAATTAAAAGTATAATATATATAAACTTTGGCTTAAAATAGTTTTTCCATTATTTTAGTCACTTTATGACCGCCACCCCGGACTATCTCCTTCCTCTAATAAATATACATATATATATATATATATATATATATATATATATATATATATATATATATATATATTTATAAAATAAAATAAATACATTTTCTGTATACTTATAAACAAGATAAAATAACTCTTTTTCTTGTTTTATTATAATGTAGTGGATAGAGAAAAAAAATATAATAAGAATAGAGTAAGCTTATCTGTCTGCAAGAGTTCTAAATATCGTATTCCAAGCAAACACTGTCATTTCATATTGGATTTAGTGGTTGCTATAACCAATCGCAGGCTGTCTATACTTTAAAAAAAGGTATTTTCCTGGAATGGGGAAGAATCAACTTCAAGTCAATTTTTATAGTTTAATAATTTAATCTATTGGATATTTAGGAAGCCCCTTATGAATCCCCGCAGTGTTCAGCAGCACAGGTTTTTGGACTTCATTTATTGTGGCTGTTGAGAGGCCCAACTTCTCGATAGATTCTACTGTGGATTTTGGAATCAGTCCATTGCTAGAGATCACTAAATCCCTCACTGTTAAGGGATTTAGTCCAGTCTGAAAAATATTTTAACTCGACTGCAAGAGTTTGATATTTCTGAATTTTTTCGGCATAGTTAGTCAGTGTTCTTATCATTTGGCACAGCTATATCTATTTATCTCAGCTGTCTTCATTTTACTATTGATCAACACGGTGTCAGGTCTGTTATGGATCATGGTATGGTCTGTTATAAAAGATTGATTCCAGTACAATTTTATTCCTTCTTTCTGGATTAGTTCTTTAGGGTTGTACTTATAATAAGGTATCAAATCATTCACTAATTTTCTTTTTAGACCAATTGCCTGAGGATAAATTTTTGTAACATTGTCAAGCCTCTTGAAATATTCTGTACCTGCCAGTGCTCCACACCCTCCAGTTATGTGCTTAATAGACTCGAACATGCTGGCATAGAGCCTACACTTGTTTGATGCTGTCTGTTGCTTCAAGAAGTGTCACAAATAAAACCTTGTTGCTATGACCTGATCTTGGATTGCAGTGAGAAGGCCTTCGTCTCGGAAAACAGATTTCCTTTAACCAGCCTACTAAAAGACAATGTTTTACCTATTTCAGTTTGTTGGAACTGCTGAAAAAATCTTCCATGCAGTGTTTTGACTTCCATTCTTCCAGTTGGTTATTGTCCGTGAAAATAATGGTTGCAGCAGTTTCTGGAGTAACTAATTGTAATGCTGTGTAACCATGGTCGAGATTGCACATTATCTTATGAAAAGGTGTCTCGCTTTGTTTGAAGTACTCTGTGAGGGTCATTTCTCGTGTTTATGAGATCTCTTCCGCCTTCCTTTCTTGGCAGATAAGGTGTTGCTGTAGATGCAGTCGGGTGATGCATTCTAGACTTAGTCATACATAAATCTATGCCCTATAAATCTATCCAATTCCTGGAGTGAAGTTGTTGACCATTTTAAAATTCCGAAACTGTATGATAAGGCTGGTATAACCATTAACATACGTATTTATAGCTTTTATTTTCAAACTTGATAGGTATGTTGTAAAAATAATTTTTAATCTCTTTTCCAATGACTATCAGTTTGTTAAGCTATTTTAACATGCTGCTCTATCCCAAAATACTTATATAGCTCTTCCTTTTTAATGTATTTAATATGTAATGCTTCATTATTTACGTTCTCAGAGGTACTTGTCTTCCCTTAATTCACATGAAGAACAGCACGTTTCTCAATTCCGAGTAACATGTATATTGAGTTACTAAATTGGGTTACAGTATTTAGCATAGATTGCGACTAAGATTTGTTGTTTGCATAAAGTTTTAAATTGTCCATATAAAAGCTATGGCTGATTAGTTCACTCAATTCATTAAGTTTATTTTGTATCGGTTCCCCTCTCGATTTAATAAAATTGATAGTGGAGCCATTGCAAGACAAAACCAAAGGGGGCTGAGGCAGTCTCCTTGGTAAATACCTCTTGAAATTTTAATGTACTCCAGAGGGTCTGATGATTGCTCATGTCCTATCCTCAGTCTTATTTTCCAGCTGTTCATCAATTTCTTCAGTTCATTTGAACTTTATACAAATCCTAGACTTTTAACCACCAGTTTTGAGGGATCAAGTCAAATGCCTTTCTGTAATCAATCCATGCTATCTCCAATTTCTTATATTCATGGTCGTTTGGCCTGTAATAAACGAGTCTATGAGCAATAGCTCCTTACAGCCTTGGTCTCTTTTCCTACAATCAGGTTGCTTCATTAGAATCAAATTATTGGATTGTAGTTGACATTCAATTTTACTTGATTGAATAGATGTTTAAATCGTATGACTCCGTTGAGGAAAGTAATTCGCCTCAAGTCTTGTGGTTCCAATCGGTCTTTTTTTTTAAGGAATTAAAATGGTAACACCCTGACAGAATGTTTTAGGAATGCCTATCTGTCCTCTTATCATTTTTTTGATAGTTCATCGCAAGTATTTCGTGCAAACAGATTAACCAACCAATAATTTTGAATTTTATCCCTGCCCGCAGCTTTCAATTTTTCATTTTCCTTGTTGCAATGACTACTTCTTCCATTGAAATATCAAAATCAGGCATTTCAGGTGTCTCCTGAATTTCCCTGTTCACTGATTTTAGTCAGTCTATTCCATCATTGTGATCTACATTGTCCTTCCAAAGCTTCTTTCAATAGTAAATGATATTATCGGTTAATGAGCAATTTGCACCTCCCTTTTTATTTTCATCCAAGTTCTGATAGAACTGCTTTTCACTGCTTGTGAATCTTTTGTTCTGCTGTTTACAGAGCATCGATGTTTTATAGCGTCATATTCTGTTTGTATAAATTACAAGTTTTTGCTTTAGTATATCACCATGTAAAGCAAGTTTTTCAGTCAGCTCAGATTCTAGCACCATTCCTATTCGTTGTACAACTATTTCATCAATCCTTCTTTTTAGTTTTGTACTTGCTCCAGTTTGCGGTTTGGTATGAGTACTTGCCTTTGTATTTCTCTCTCTACATTATTGTGAGAGTTAACTTGGGTTTCTAGATAGGTGAATGATTATACCCTTTCGAATCTATGCTTTCCCAACAGGACGTATCTCTCCATCATTTTCATGTTGAGGTAGAGTGCTCATATATTTCGTCTTTTTTTTTTTCATTTATGATGAGTCCTAATCGTGCTGCTGCTGCTTGTTCTAGTGCCTCGAAAGCTGTTCTTACTGCGTTGAGATTCCTTCCAGTAAAGTCTAGGTTATCTGCACATTCCAGAACCTGTATTATCTTATTTACTAGGGTCCCAGTTGTCAGAATACCAGAGTCTCTAATAGTTTTCTCCAGATAGAGATTGAATAATAGGCAAGCAAGACTATCCCCTTGTCTAACTTCTGTTTCAGTGGAAAATCCTTTTGAGAGTTTCCTATTTATCCTTTTGAAGCTTATGTTGTCCTTCATTGTCATCCTCATAAGACTGACCAATTTTAATGGAATATTTATGTCGTCCGTTGCTACATAGGCCTCATCTTTATTAATAGAATCATATGCATGTTGAAAATCAATAAAAAGATGATGCGTTGTAATCTGATATTCCCTTGTTTTTTCTAATAGGATGCGTAGAGTGAAAATTGGATTGGTATTTAATTTATTTTTTTGAAACCCAGTCTGATATTGGTAATGTTGTATAAATAAAATGTTGGAAAAAATCTTGTATACATTTGGGAGAAGTGAGATTCCTCTGTAATTATTGCATGTATATACACTTCTTTTCTTATGAATAGGACAAATCACTGTTTTCTTCCATTCAGGTGGTAATCTTTCTTCTCCCCAAATATCCACTAAAGTTTCCTGCAGGAATTTTATCATTTCACTTCCACTGTTTGAACAGCTCAGCTGGTATGTTATAAATTCCAGTTATCAATGATCTTCTTCTTTAGTTTCTCGATAGCATCGGTGATTTCCTCTTCATTGGGAGGTTCAATGGAGTCTTCAGCACCTCTCTCTCTTAGAATGATTGTATATAGGTTGTGGTCTGTTTTTAGATATTGAAAATAATATGTACGTGGATATTAAACATTTGATTGCTTCATTTTATGTGAACAATTAAACACATATGCTATGGATTGAGTGTGGCCTAAATTCAGTTTATCCTATGGTTAGTATGGTTTTAAAATTAAGATTTTAAATGAAAAACTAAGTGGGTCAATAATTATTATTGGAACTGTGGGTTTGTGTAGATTTTTGTTTACAATTTTCAATTTGTCATTTGCTCCTCTGGTTTTTCTTCTAGCACCTGTGGAAATAACTCATGAGCCTATAACTTTCCCTATAAGTTGCATCCCTCTAAGTTTTTTGTATTTCCTGTAAAATCTTATAAAGTGGACGTAGACTTCTTTCTTGTGGTTTTGTATATATTTATGTTTTCTAGTTCCTCCATTTATTTTATCACATATTTTGTTAAAATTTCATTTTCAAATCATCATCATCATCAGAAATCAAGTCGCTATGTCAGATTCGTTGATGTAAGAGTGACTGCTGCTATATCCATTAAAAACTATGTTATGATACTCTTGTGAATCACTGGACGAGACATTATTTTCGTTGATATAACCAATATGTCGTTACAATCGATGTCATCATAAACGGTATCCAGTATACACATTATCAACATTTCTTGTTTTTTATTTAATATTATTGAAATAACAGAAGTGTTTTTTTGAATAAGGTAAACATAAAATATTATTTTAGTAGTTAAACTTGCCTATATGATCACATGAATTAATTATTTAGAGGCTGAGAAGCAGCAGCAAATCAATAAAGCAAATGGAGAAGCTGAAGCTTTACTGGTGTTAGCAGATGCTCGAGCAAAGGGTTTGGATATTGTTGCAAATGCTTTACACTCGAAGGTAAATTTTATTTTAGAGAGAATTTTATTTTTATAATATGTTATGATAATTGTTATTAATACAAACTTAGAGTATTAGATTTAACAATGTAAAACATAGAAACCATGTTTGCTTGTTATTAGACCAAAGATTTATATACATAAAAAATTTCTCAGATATGCCTTTAACCCTTTGACTGTGGGACCTTATACGTGTGTTTCTTCCAGATGACAGGTCCTGAAATCCAAAAAGACATCGGAAAAATGGATTTATTTTTTCCCTTAAATTTGTTTAAAATAGTATTTTGAGTCTCCCTGCAAGATATTAGCTTTCAAAACTGCATTTTAACCTTTTTATTTAACTTTTAATAACCGGATCATATGCTTTTCCGACCATGCCTGTGAATCAAAAATTTGAGCAGCAATCCAATCCCAGAACACTTCGCTCTCTTGAGTATATGCAAATTTCCAAAAAGCAATGTAACTGAAAATTATCATAAAAATAACTGTAAATGATCATAAAAACTAAATTATATTATGTCTATAAAAAAAGGACATTGATGATGGGATTCAAATTATGTTTCTTTGTATATAAAAAAATTTTTCTTACCTAAAAAAGTTCTATATTGAATCATAGCACAGTTACAAATTTTATTATTGCATTTACATTTATTTTGAGTTACAAACACTTTTATATGAAATAAATATATATTGTTTTTAGGTGGATGGAAAAATGATTTAGTGATTAAAAAATTTTTTTTGAAAGAACATCTGTCTTTTATAGCTGTTTTTAATTACAGAATGGAAGAAATGCTGCATCTTTACATTTAGCTGAACAATATATTGATTCTTTTGGCAAGTTAGCCAAAACTAACAACACTATGATCCTGTCTAATGAAGTTAATAATGTACCTTCTTTGATCAGTCAGGTAAATTTAATTATACTATGTAATAATGAACATAATGGTATAATTAAAAACAGTTCTGCTCCAATAAATATTTAATTGCTATTTCTTAAATTGTCTCTGTTTACTAGGTATGTAAATATGAAACCAGAATTTTTTTATAGATGACTATTGGTTATTGTAGTTACCGTTAAATCTTATTTCCTCCTGTGGATTCATGGATGGAGCAGACCCAAAGTATTTACTGCTTAGTCATAAACAGTGACAATTTCTCTCCCCTATCTGACATGGCTGTCTAACGTGGTACTAAAGGGACACTGTCCATTGACCTTATACCTTCATCCTACACATTCCTTCCAATAATCCTTCTTATCTTTTTCCTGTGCTCCTTAATTTCCTTATTCTCTATCATCTTATGGGTTAAAACAAAAGTTCAGAGACTAAGGGAGTAAACCCCAACAAAAAATCCGATTCTCCAGCTTGGTGGTTGCGCGCTGGGCTGACAACCCAGTCTCATATAAAGCATTTCCTTACGAAAATACAAAAAAATAGCAGTACTGATTTAAGGTGAAGACCTAATCTTGGAAATGGACTTATGCACATCGAAACATGGAACGTTAGAAGTATGCTTCAGTCAGGAGTTAGTAGGATATTAGAAGATGAGCTCTTGAAGTATAAATTGGATATAGTAGTCCTACAGGAAATAAGATGGAAAGATGTCTATATAGTGGCTGAATAATTACACTCTCTCCAATAGTGGTGAGTAAGTGTAATCTGTTGGGGATTGATTTAATGGTAAACGCTCTCAAACAAGCATTGGTAGATTACGATGCTGTTAATGAGAAAATATATAGGATAAGACTGGAAGGTAAAAATTTAAACTTATCTACGGTGAGTGTACATGTGCCGACGGAAGAAAAATCAAAGGAAGAGAAAGATGAATTTTATGGTTCTATAAAGAAGGTTGTAGGTGGAATTCCGAGTTATGATGTCAAGTTGGTCTCAGGTGATCTCCAATGATAACGGGATATGAATGAATGAAAATATATTTTATTATTCTGGGACTGTTGTCCCTTTATAGCAAAATATAAGTACAGATTGCATATCTGTGTTGTCATAAATAAATTATATATTTACAATAAGAGTTAATTAAAAATAAAAATACAGAAGAAGAGAGAGAAAAGGACAAGAAGATTGTACATATATATAAGACAGACATAGGAAACTAAAATAACCTAAATAAATTGAAGTAGTCTCTGGGGGTACTTAGATAGTTCTCTTAGGTAAATTTTGTAATCAGTCGGATTGAGAAAGGAGTAGGTGTTTAAAGAGGAGAGGTTTGAAAGAGGAAACTTATTGTGCGTGTCGAATATCAACAGGGATGGAATTCCATAGGGAGGCTTCTGGAATTGCAAAGGATTTGTCAAACACAGCAGTTTCGTGAGGAGGAGGATAGAGGTTGGAAGTACAAGATCTAGTGGGACGGGATTGGATGAAGTATTTAAATTTTAAGCTGTGAAAAGTATAGGAAGGTCAATGAGTTTTAATGATCTAGTACAGAAACGTGGCTAGGCGTGAAGAGAAACGTGAAGTACTGACGGCGATAGGATGGATAGAGCCACTTCAATTCAGTGTAATACTGGGTAATATGCGTAGCTCTTGAGATCCCGAAAACAAAACGTATTGCACAATTCATTTTTCATTTTAAGTCTGGTCTAGAAATCTCCTAAATCGTATACAGCCATAGTCGAAGTGGGGGAAAACAAGAGAGGGAACTAGGAGTTGACGGGACTTATATGGAAGGAGATAACATAGACGATTGAACTGTTTTAAAGTGGAGAAAGTGGGACGGGAAATTTGGGAGATGAATGGTTTCCAGGAAAGGATTTGATCAAAAGTAACACCTAGGTTTTTTACGGTAGTATGCAATAAGATAGGTGGGTTGTTCAGGAGAAGATTGGGGGTTACCGGGAAGGATTTAAGAAGTGAGGGGGATCCGATCAAGATGCCTTTCGTCTTCTCGGCGTTCAGAGTGAGCCTGTTGAGGTTTGCCCAAGCACTGATTCTATTAATATCTTCTTGTAGTTTTAAAATGGCATCTGAGGAATCAGTCGGATTAAAGGAGAGGTAAATTTGAATTTTGTTGGCATAAAGGTGTTATTGACAGTGCAGGATAGAGGATGGAGGGTTATTAGGAATTACAACATACTGGGAGCGACGGGTAAGGAAGGATTGGAACCAGTTAAGGGAACTAGAAGAAAAGGAGATACTTTTAAGTTTGGTTAGGAGGATGTTGTGGTCTACTGATTCAAAAGCTTTGTAGAAGTCAAGAAGAATAAGGATGGTTAGTTTCTGCTGATTTATTGCTGTGTGAAGGTCTTGGGAAATTTTGATTAGAGCAGACTGAGTAGAATAACCTGGCCTGAAACCTCAGAAAAAAAAGAAATGGCTGGTATGACAAGGAATGTGAAGAAAACAGTCAAAGAAAGAAATTATGCTAGAATGAAATTGATAAAGTTAGTAATGAAAACCTCTGTAGAAAGCTATAAAAGGAAAATACCAGAGGCAAGGAAAATATGTAGGAGATAAAAGAGGGCTAAAGAGAGAGAGAAACTAGAGCAAATACAAGATGAATTTGATTAAATTAACAGTAGGAAGTTTTACTAGTCCTGGCTCCAGGTCGAAAATTGCCCTGATTTTTACTAAATTTGTCAAAAATTGAGACACATTACTATAAATGACCCTGTGACTTGGAAATGAGTTCCTTAAGAGGAATAGTTAGTACTCAGTTGACACAAAAATTTTGATTGTATGGGTTTTTCTCTTTGGGAACTCATTTCCAAGTTACAGGACATTTATAGTAATTTTATCAGTTTTTGATAAATTTGGTAAAAATCAGTGTTGGTTGACCGTGGTGTTATTTCTTACCATGTAACCAAATTATTAAGTTTATGTAGTCGTTTGATGCACAATTTAATGTTCTATAATTTCTTAAAGAGTACATTTTTCGCTTTAATGCATCGTTTAGGAGCTATAGGTGAAAAAACAAACAAATATAAAAAAATCTTACTTTTTTGGCTGTAAAAAGTTTTCCCTTGGTGGCCTAATAAAAATTTGTAATATTCTGGGAGATATGAAGCGTCTTAATTTTTCTTTTAAAAAATAGAGCACTATTGAATCTCATTAGGCATGCATTTTATATCCCTAGAAAATGATAGGAGTTTCAAGAATCTCTGATGTTATATTGGAACTCAGATCTGATGGCTGTATCAATATCTTTGAAACTCAATTTTGATCCACTGATTTGGATATATATACTTTTTTTTTACACCCTACCTCGCCATTTGTGGCATATGGTAGGATTATTCTTGAGTTACAACCAAATCTATTATAACCAGATTGAGAAGGTCTTTATTAACACAGTGGATCCGCCACACCCAAATTTTAACCCACCCAGGTCAGATTCAAACGAGTATCACTAGACCCAAGTATGCTAAAGAGGGCAATACTTTAACCTGCTCAGCCACCACAGCTGACCACCTCATGCTGATGAGGCACTGTCAAATTTTTTCAATTCTACTTTTTACATTTACTGTTATTAAGTTAAAGTAAAATATAGAGAATCAAAATTATGATTAGAGATTGATTGAAATGAGAATCAGTCACTTCTCCATTAAATTTTCTTATAGCCCGGAGCCAGGACCCACCCAAAAATGGACCTCATCACAGATGAAGGTTTGAATGTATATTATGAAAGTGTATGTTATTCTAAGGAAAATGAGCCTTGTCTGCCATTCCAGAGCTAGATAGGTTAGTTTACCTAGGCCTCAACCATTGTAAATTCCTGATTTTCATTAAAAGTAATGTAAAGTAAATATTTTTTATTTAATTTCAAATTTACCTACATATACCTAAAGCTAATATGTAAAATAATAAAAAAAAATTCTTTTCCAATTTAAACTTCCTTCCTATTAATAAGATCCGTAACTTTTAATTTGTATTCATTGGAATCAGGACTTTGAATTTCAATCAGTTTAAAAAAACAAACAATTTTTTTGCCTGAATAACCGTAAGGTTTGAGAATGTTTGTTTTTTAATTTTAGCAAAAAGTCCTTTTTTAATTTAAAAAAAAAAAAGATGAAAATAATAAATCGAAGAATTGATTCACCATAATGATTGTATCATTGCAAATTGATTCAGTTAAAAGAATCTAAATTTTTATCTCTAATTTTTAGAAAACTATTGTCAAAGAATACTGATTTTGATCAAATTGGTCAAAAATTGAGACAAATTACTACAAATGGCCCTGCAGCTTAGAAACGAGCTCCCTAAGAGGGAAAACTCATAGGATCAAAGTTGTAGAACATCAAATTCTGTGTCCACTGAGTACTAACGTTTTTATTTTATGTTAGTTATATCTCTTCAATTAGGATTCATTATTTCTTCATGAAATTCATTTTCTTTTGACACTTGTTTCTCAAAATCTTTTGCTGCTGAGATGTGAAAAAGAGGCCTGTACTGCATATAACAGACTCTAAAAAACAATTACTCAGTATAATAGACTCCTATACTGTTGAAATATAGAAAATCACACATACCTTCATTACTAATTTCCAGCCATTGGGAGCTTACCGATTTTGAATGGAGTAGGTGACCTACATTAAAAATTTTGGTACTTAGTGGACACGGAGTTTTATGCTCAACAATTTTGATTCTGTGAGTTTTTTTCTTATGGAACTCTATTCCAAGTTATTGGGCCATTTACATTAATTTATCTCAGTTTTGATAAATATCAGGGTTCGTTGACAGTAGTACCATACCACTTCACCTAATTATTAAGTTTAGGTGCTCGTTCGACTTTCGGAAAGAAATTTTGGTTTTTACATGTTTGTAGCCCTATATACAAGTTAAACAAATAAAAACTTTTCCTACATTTTTCAGAATATATTTCCCATTTCGATCCTCATGTTACTGACTTATTTTTTTTAAAGCAGCGGCTCTGGAATGGCAGACAAGGTTAATTTTTTCTTAGAATAACATTCATTTTCGAATTTACATTCAAACCTTCACCTGTGATGCGATCTATTTTTGGACTCTGGTCCATTGACTATGAATGTTGTTTTTTTTAAATTTAATTCCTACATAAGGAATAAATAACAAAAACTCCTTATAGGTTTTTATTTTTTATCTTCATTTGTAGTTTGTTTATGATAGTCATGTTGATGTCATTTTGTGTAGTTTATGTGGCCCTAAATTCCTGCTAAATTTCTTGTAGATAGCTAAAGTCGTATTTAGGTTATAACTTTTTTTGTGATTTTCGAAAAAAAATCATGTGAGGGACCCAAACATATAGCCTGGAAAAAGCCGATCTAATGGTTTTCTACACTTGCCAATGGTTTTCTACACTTGCCAATGGTTTTCTACACTTGTGTGCGACATATTTAGGGCCATAGCAATTGGGTGGGATTTTGATCAACAATGGCCTTAACATTGCTCGTTTCAATTTCATATGGATGACCAGACAGTTGAGCATCATTGATGTCAAAATTTCCTGAATGAAATTTGGCAAACCAATTTTGACAGGTGCGTTTGGTTAAGGCATTAACCTCGTAAACACTGTAAATTTTTCTATCAGCTTCTACAGCATGCTTACCTTTTTTATAGTAATACAACAAAATATGCTGATAATGAATGATAATTTATTCCACATTCACAGCGCGATAACAAATACAATACTAAGCTAGTTTCAAAAAGAGTTAACAGAAATAGTTTTTGACATATTACAATCATGATAAACAATCCACCTTAGGGATTAATTCATCAGATAAGAAGTGTATCATAGTGACATAAAAATAAACAGAAAAACCGAAAGGACTTATTTGCCAACTCAATACTATTGATACATCATTCGTCAAAATCCACCATCTCTGAGAGCCGGAAAAGAGATCTTTTATTAGAAATAATATATAGTAAATATCAAAAACCCTAATTATTAATCTGTAAACTGTAATGCTAATTTTTGTTTTATTTGTTTTAGGCATTGGCGATCTACAATAATGTTTCACAAAATCAGCTTCAGACCGATTGTATTTCTCCTGATAATATTTTAGATAATGTGAAACCAAAGAGAATTAGTAGAGAATATTTGAGTGATGATGAAAATGATGTAAAATAAATATTTTTAATGTATCGTTGTTTTTGTTTGTTATGTTTCATTGTATTATTAAAGTTATTTATTGTATCAAGATTCAATTTTTTATTTTTGATTCATATTCAGTAATGCAGCATTATATATAAATATTAAAAGACACTATTTTGCAAAAAGGTTTCAAACAAAAATATTTGTTTTATCTAATAAATTATTAATGTTTATAAAATAACATTTTTTGAATTTGTTAATTGAAATTTTCTAAAAACATCTTATCTGTGTGACTTTTGAAAATAATAATTAAACTGTTAATTAAAATGATAAATATTAAATTTTTGTACTGCCAAATTTACATAATCCCAATAATCTCAATAGTTTTTTCCACTAGTTCATTTGGTTTGGACATATTTTCTTTTATTTAGCTGAGTATGCATGACTCTAATTTTTAAATTTGATTTAATTATGAATGTACCATTATGTTCAACCAATGTAATGTGAAATGCAATAATATAACATTGCAATAGGGCATGAATTATCTATGCTGATGACATACTCTATGTCGATCTTAGTCTGTGTGTTGACATTGTCCATATATATAATCAATGCTATTATATATTATCAATTATATTATATATTGTACAAAGCTTAAAATTAGAATTAGGAACATATAATAATAGGGTGTATAAAAAAAAAATGACCGTTTTATCAAATTCAAGATTCAAAGGACTGTAAATATTTTAATATTTAATATTTACTTACCAATACTTAATAATCTCTTTACAGCATTCTCTTAGCTTGTTTAATCCCATTCGACTTCTTCATAAAAAGCCTCAGTTTAGTTATTTGTTTCAAAGAAGAAACATGACAATGTCCTACGAAATTCTTGTAATTTTAAAGCATTACTGGAAAAAAAATTCACAGCTGTTGAAGCAACTCCTGAAATTGTTAAATATGAAGGGGAACGTGTCCTTGACTATCCCACTACGCGGCATTAGTTTGAAAAATTTAGCAGTAAAGACACGGCGTTGGAAAGAAATAATGGCTCCAGGTGACCAAATTTCTTCTTTTTTGTTTTGTTTTTAAAGAAATTCCTTCTTGCTTTACTGATAACAGTCTCAGGTACCTTATCACATCATCAGTTAGCTTAATAACATGCCTATCTCATCAGGATGCAAAGGAAGAAAGAGATTTCTTGTAAGAGAGTTTAGCACAACAGAAAAATAAAACTGCTACGTATATAATATAAAATAACAGTACTATTTAGCCGTTTCAATCTGATAATGTCTAGGAGCTCTCTTCATCCTGGCAAACAATTTTTTTTTTCATATTTCGGTTTTATTTGTCATGACTGATTTACTTTTTATAAAAATTTATTTTCATTTATTGTTTTCAATAATGAACCTTTATTATTGGCCGATTACTAAAAGATAAAAAAAAAAAATCAAATTTCCGTTTGAAATTGAGTTTTTATTTTTCAAGATAAGTAGAAAAAAAAAAACAGAATAAAAATAATGTCCACATCAGCCATTTATGAAGATAAGAAAACTATAAAATGTTTTGAAATCATTATACCAAAGCCTTATTAAAGAAAAAATCTAAAAAAATGTTAGGATTGTCCGCTTGAAACTGGTAAATCATTGTGTGATAATTTGCAGCATTTTTAATTTAGTATTAATTACATCTGCATTTTTAAAATTTTATTTTAGTCGATTATTTTAGAAACATTGCTCGACAGACATTTCGAGAATAAGTCTGGAATTTCAATCATTAAAATTGGTAGACGCCATGATCATCCATCTCTTAGTACTGTAAAACAGTGGTAGGGAACTTATTAATCAGAGGCTAACTTTACTCCAATAAGCTAAAATTAACGAAGTGACTGACTTGAGTATTGCTTCTCTATCAACCTTACTTTTTTCTGAAAGTTAGATACTATGAAGTGATTCTATTTTTGGAGTTATGTTGCCCTCCAACCTACTTGTTTTTGACCCTTCTTACTTTAGTTCTTCTTGATCCATTCTTCGTTATCTGTTGAAGATCATACTAAGGTATGGTATAGATTTTATTTTCTTTAGAGATTTTTTTTTATCTTTTAGGAAAACGCACAATTGCCTTTTTAAGCTGTTTATATACCATAACAATAACAAGCTATCTAAAATACAAGTTTAGTTGATTTATTGAATCTCCATATACTGACATCCCTTCTTGCATTGGTAATTTTACAATAATAATGTAATAAATATGGTTAGAAATAAACAAAGAAATGAGTGTTTCTTTGTAAGAAGAATTATTTTAAGTTTCTATTTCAATTTAGTCATAAAGACCTTTTGAAATTTTTTTCAAAATAAACTACAAAAAATTCAAAATAAATTAAATTAAATTGGAATCTGGTAATCATCTACCAAGACTATGAATTAAGAATTATTGTATTTAAGATTTTAATATATTGATAAAACATTTACTAATTTTGCACTGAGTCAATAAATAGCAATAATAATGAATTTTTAAATGTTGCAATGTTGTTTTTTTTATGTTTCAAATTTGTTTTCTTAACTAATTGAATATATTGTGTACATGCTCTAAATTTGTCATATGCAGGGTATTACACTTTTTAAGGAAATGGGTTTGTGGACAGGCAGTGAACATTAGGTATATTCCCTTCACAATCCGATTTGTATGACTTCTTGATATTAAGGTGCAAAATTAAAAAAAAAAAAAGTATGTTAGGTTCACATTTTGATAAATAATTGCATATATAGGAGCTATCAAATTTTTTTTTAGGAATTGTTGTAAAGCATTTAGTTTTTCACTGTCAATCCAATAATAAACCAATAAACTTTTTATTTAACTCAACCTTTTTATTTGTAAAATTTTGTATTAAATTTTTCATCCATTTTTCAATCTAAAATAGAAAAATGTACAGTTTGAATCTAATAATACTGATTTTTTACACATTGTAAATTTGAAGTCTACATGGCCTGACTTCATTCAAATTTATTGGCATTTATTCGTCTGAAGTAAAATATTCGATGTTATTTTTTTTTTAAATTTACATTGTTGAATTACGTTACATTCGGCCATAAACTTCAAACATTTGCCCTGTTTATTGTAGGATCTTAGTTTAAGGTAGAGGGAAATGGAAGTGGGCTGCATAAATTTGTTTTAAAGTACTATTTTGACTTTTATCCACAAATTTGTGCAGCTGAACCATTTGAATCAATAAAGTAACACTTAATTGTTATGATTGAATCATATTTCTTAATGTAATCCTACAATCCAGAAATGTGACTAATATATACCAATAATGCATGCAAGACATCAGCAAAACTGTAATTCTGTAAATACATGAAGTACATCGTTCTTAATGATATTAAGAACTATTAAAACAATATTGTTACTTAAAAAAAATATATCAGCGACAAACATAAAAATTAGATTATAAACAACAATAAAATCAGTAACTGGGGATTTTCAGTGGGCCCCAATCTGTATACATTCAACAAAAATCTTAGAAGACCAGGTCTATTGTGGCACCATTTCACTTATCCGTCCTGCTTTGGTTATGCGAATGGTCTATGTAGGGCCGATAAATACTTTTCTAAAAAAATTAATTTTTGTGGTTGAAGGCACTTTAGATCGGACGATGTGGCCCTTGAGTGTTTTTGTAATGAATGGTTTCGAAAAACAAATTCACTTTCGTATCACAATTTTTAGATTCCTGTAAGTTTTGTTCTTTAGTTGCCTTCATACTATTGTAGACCTGAGTTTAAAAAAGTGACCATTTTTTTCAGAGATGAATATAAACAAATTCTGATTTCCAGTGTATTTGAGAACAGGTCGTATTTTTGAAATAGTGCACACAATATTTTAAAAACTCTTAACAAAATAACAGTACCAAAGAAATAATCAACACTTGCTGACAATATAAAGATATCTGGCTTATTATGAAAGAAAATTTTATTTACACTGAGCAATACACCACAGTTATTAAACGCCAAATATCTGTCCAGTATATATATATATATATATATATATATATATATATATATATATATATATATATATATTTATGTGTGTGAGTGTGTGGGTATGTGTATATATACACATATATTGCATATGTTTTTATGATCGTTTCATTTACTGATCAATTGAACATTCTCTCATATTGCACATAATCCGTTATTTAAATGCTGCTGCACTTAACTATTTAAATTTATTACAATATATTCAACATTTTTCTGCTATTAATACATAGATATCATTATATACATGTAATTATTTATATTATAGATTGTCATTGGAGACAATCCGTGTCACAGATATAAGTAGTAAGCATTGTTGTAGGCGGTATGCTGCTAGTGTAAATGGCCAACAAGGGTTGTGTAACTTAGGCCTCTTGTCTGGGGGCCCACTAGTGGGTAACATCTCACATATACTACAGTTTAACATCCAAAACTGAACTATTCACTAGTATTGTAACAAAATATCATGTAACTTCTATACAAAGTCACATAATCCTTATAATAGCATTACTGTAAAACCATGGATAAACCAAAGTATAACAGATACATATACAAATCAATATGGAATATACATTAACTTTATATATAAACATAATATATTATGCTTCCAAAACACGTGATTTTACTCTTCAACTACAGCAAATCATTAACACTAAGTAGTTAAAAATTTTTCTTTTCTTTGTCATATATAAGAAAATATAGAATTTAAGGCAGATTTCGGTTAAAAATTACACACAATTTTTCATTTTTGGCTTATAACGATATTTTTTTTTTAATAATTTAAGGCGCGAAGGTGCTTTTTTTTTTCTTTTTTGAATAAGCTTGTACTTTGTGTGAAAGGGACCTTCTTTTTTTTTTGTTATTGTTTTTTATTTCCAAAATCCAATTTTCGACAGGGAGTACCTAAAATTGCCAAGATTCATGTTGTAGTACTGTAAAGCAAGTTTGGATAAAAATAAAAATAAATAAAAAAGGACAAAATGGACTGGAAGGATCATTGAAAAAAATAAAATAAAAA